AATAATAACTGACCAGTGACTACTGAAGGGCTAGCATCTGTCTGCATATGGGCCACATTATATACCCTGGCTATCGTGCCTCCAATTGCAGGTACTAAAGTTGCAGAACCAATAGGGCAATCTCTAGCAACATGTCCTGGCCGGCAGTATATAAAACAAACATCGGTCCCCACTAGACATTCACTCCTGCGTCTTCTCTGACATTTCTTGTAGTAACTTATCTCACCTTCCTCTATTGGCCCTTTTTCTTCATGTCCTTCAGAACTCCTTTCTTACCTTTACCCTTATCGTCTTTGCCAACAACTTGTTCTGCACTACTGGACTGGCCAAGCAGAGAGGACTACTTACCACTGTTAGGGGAAGAGCTAATCTGGTCTCTTTTCTTAAGTACACCACTGCTCTGATATCTCTAGCGAATGCTTCACTATATGTTTGGGAGGGCTGATGACCCGACATAACATCTCTGGCAATATTGGGGTGAAGTCCACCCACAAATCTCTCCAATCGGGTTTGTGGTGTACTAACCAATGTGGGTGCAAACTTAGCCAAGGAGTTGAACTTGATTGAATACTCTTTGACCATCATATTTCCTTGTTGTAGACTAATAAACTCTTGTTATCTATAGGATATCATGTTCGCCATTCGGTACTGCTCCTTAAACAATTCCTTGAACCTTGACCAAGTGAGAATGGTGGTATCTTGAGTCTGCTCCATAAGCTCCCACCATGTCATAGCATCTCTTCTCAATAGTTACGTAGCATACTGGATCTTCTCTTGATCTTCTCTTGATCTGTCATAGGAAATAGAGCAGTACCTTTCTCCACCAACCTGATCCATTGTTCTGTTACTACCGGATCATTAGTGCTGCTAAATTCTAGGGGTTGATGCTTACTTGAGAGGCCATAAATCGGTTCAATCTGTTTTGGAACAACATTGCTTCTAGGGTATTCATCCTTATTGCTTGACTTGGTACCACATTGGTTGTCACTGTTGTCACTGTTGTCACCGGAGTACTTGTACTTTCCACTGGGGTTGTCACTGTTGTATCACCGGAGTACTTGTACTTTCCAGTGGTACCACATAGATTGTATGTGGCCAAAGCCCTTGCATGGAAAATACTTGATGCCTTTATTTTTCTTTTCTTTGTCTTTTGAAAACTTCTTAGTAAAGGTACCATGGGTTTGATGGTCATAAGGCTTTTTCACAAAAGGTTTTCGGCCATAACCACTATTATGAAGCTTTTTTATGTTTTTCTTTAAAAACTTTGCAAAATTCTTTGTAAGTAAAGAAAACTTTTTATCATCCAATGAACATAAATCACAATCATCAAAAGGATCATAATCAACCTCATGTTTGAGAGTCAGACCTTTGCTCGGTTTTTGTTTTTCCCGTCATTGCAGATTCAGCTCATAGGTTTGGAGAGAACCAATGAGTTCATTAATGTCCATAGCATCCATATCTCAGCATTATTCAATGGTGGTGACCTTTGACATAAACCTCCAGGGCAAAAAGCAAAGCACTTTCCTGACAAGTTTAGCATTAGAATAGGTTCTTCCCAAGGCAAAACATTCATTAGAAATATCACAAACTCTACCATAAAAAATTAGTTATAGCCTCATCCTCTTCCATATTCAAATTTTCAAAGTCAGAGACAAGTCTTCTAAGCCTATTTCTCTTAACTGTACTAGTTCTCTCACTCTTGACTTGAAGTTTATCCCAATCATCTTTAGCAAGCTCACAATTAGCTATAATTTTCATTTGGTTCACATTAACAGCATTAAAAAAAGCATGAAGGGCTTTAGAGTTATAGTTAGCAGGAGTTATTTCATGAGCTGTCCAACTAGCAACAGGTTTTGGTCTAGACATTTCATTTTCAACAATAACTGAGGTTGTCCAACCATTCAAAACTATGGACCAGACTCTTTTATCTATAAACTTAAGAAAAGCACGCATCCTAGGTCTCCATGTGTAATAGTTGGGTCCTTCTAACAGAGGAGGTCTATGAGCAGATCCCCCTTTAGTGAAGAAACTCATGACAAAAAGCAGTCAAACAGATGCTAACATAGCAAACAGTAGCACACACAGACAAGCAGCAGATCTGAAATAAAAATGCAACACATACCAGATTTCGTCCAACAACCAGATCACTTAAATGCAAACAAGGAAAATATTCATTCTTTTAGTTTGGACCACAAAATAAATCAGGAAAGACAACTTTATTCCCTAGGACCACCTAAGCATATTATGACATATGTACAAAGGTCTTCAGAAGCAAGAGACAAACATAAACAATATCTTTTTCATTTTATCAGGCGTACAACTCGTGCTGGGTTGCAAATGTCTGAAGCGAGAGTTTAAGAACAAACTTTTATGCACACACACTCAAAACAAACCAAGCCAAGACATAAGTCTGGCAACCTGTGTGCATGCATAATTAATGTGCACTCACACAACTCATAAGTTTGACAAATATGAATATTCCACAAACATTAAGTGCATGCTTGGGTAGTTCAAGTAAAGGTTAATAGCAGCATGATTGTATCCTGACCTGAGTTGGTTTCCTTCCATTGAAAACCACAGCTACCACACAGCAGGGATGTGTTATGTAATTATAGTGTCTCTCTTTTTAACGTGTTTTCTTTAGGGATGACAAAAATATCCTATGGATGGGATATCCATGCATTGGATCAATTTGGATTGGATCCATGTTCATATATGAAATGGATCAATATCGACATGAATCCATATAAATCAAAATAGATTAGACTAGATTATGAATATCTGATATCCAATTCATTATCAATTAGCTATACAAAATTCTTCAAATTAAAAAAAAAAATAAAAACTTTTAATTCATTGAACCAATAATTTCATAATTTTTTTATAAATTAAAAAAGAAATTGAAATGGCAATGGTTGTTGGACATCATTGTTGACGGTCAACACCAGTCAAAGGTGGCTCGTTAGCATCAAATTTTGGTCCCGTTAAAACTAAAGCAAGCTGATCTATAGGAATTTGGTTGAATCACTAGATTTTGTCGGCCAAAACAAGTGTCAAAATTCAGTGATTAAACTAGATTCTTGTAGATGGGAGAAGTCTGATCTGGACTAGATCACAGGTGGCACCAACATGCCACCTTTGACCTGCGTTGATCGTTGGTCCACAATAGTTGATTAAATGTTGACCAGTCAACAATGGTTGATTGGTGGCTACTAATAACTAATATTGTTTTAATACATTTTTAAATATTTATTAAATACTTATCAAAATACAAATTAGTATGAAGAAAAAATTATATTTTGACTAATTACTTAAGATTAAATACAAAAAATAATATGAAAATATGAAAACTTGATTAAAAATACAAAAATTAGATTAAACATATGTATTAATGTTTATGGATTGAATAAAAAATCCAATCCATCCTTAGATTTTAAAATGGAGTGGATCAGATTGGATAGAAATTCATGCCATTTCTATCATCCATAGTTTTCTCTTCTACTTCCTCGCTTTATTGTTTAATTGGAAGGAATCTAGTACAGTTTAAAGTGGGTCAATTTAAATAAAAGAAAATTACTTTAAACCCCCTTCTGTTTTAGATATAGCTTATGACCCTATCGTCAATATCCCATGGATAATGACACTGCTGTAAAGCCATAATGTTTCTCAGTAGACATTCAATCCATTATCTATTTCTAAATGTGGTTTTTGTATGAATTAAGTTTTGTTATGTGTTGGAATATTGAATGAGAATGATGTGTGGTAGTCGAAGTACGTATGGTTTATGATTGTCAAAAATTGTTGAGAACCATACATTTGGTTGTGGATTGGGTTTAGTCATGGAGCAAGGACTTGGTCTCAGTAAGGGCAAGTGAAAAAAATTTAAATATTATTATCCATGATAAATTAACCTCATATACAAAATGAATTTTTAGTACTTTATGTATTTGATTGATAACAAAAGAAACAAAATAAAATATACAGTATTTGATATTTGAGAAGAACAAAATAAAATAAAAGGGATCATAATGCTTGGATTTAGGCTATTTTGATTAAATAAAATAAATGGGTGTTAATGTTAAAACATACAATAGGAGGGTATAAATAAAATTTTTCCAAGTTCGATGGGGCTTCAACCCCCACTCACACCCTAGTGGTTTTGTCTGGGGGTGATAACTCGAGCCAAGCTGCTAGCAAGCGGCTTGGGCTCAACTTGGCAGTAGTCGAGTCGAGCTCAAGCTCGAATGTTGTTTCGAGTCGAGTTCGATCACAGTATAACTTGACTCAAAAAGCTTGATTAAGCTTAAAAAGCTCGATTAAGCTCGATTAAACTCGAAAAGCTCAACTAAAGCTCGATTAAAGCTTGATTAACCGAGCTCAAGTTCAAACTTGACTTCTCATTTTAGGTATTGAGTTTGAGTTAGAACTCGATTCCTCAAGCTTGGCCAAGCTCCAATTCGAACTAGAATTCGATATTGTAGCAATCAAGTCAAGTTCGAGTAGCTAGATACTCAACTCAACTTGACTTGATTTCACCCCTAGCTCTGTCTCTAATTGAGTTTTAAACCCTAGGTAAGAAGAGAGGGATACAAACTTTCCAAAATTTACTAAATTTCTTGAAACATTTTCCCAAATTTATTGTAAAATTTGTTCGAATCTCTCAGATACTATAGTTTTCTCATAGAAGGTTAATTTAATAGCAACAGTTTTGAAAAAGGAGACGTTAGGCTTGGGGTGGCCTTGTTCATAGTGAACCCTACAAAAATCTTTAAAATTTATATAGAAAAATAATTTTAACCCCTATAAATGTAGTTATTATAATCTGGCCACCCTTAAAATTTGAAGGTAACACTTTAGCTCCCATAAATGTAACTTTTTTATTTGTTACTGACCCCATTGTTTGTTGAAGATAACATTTTGGTCCCCTAGAAAATATTTTTTGGTTTTGTCCCTATTTGAGAAAAAAATTACTAGATATAATTGAAACGTGCTACAGTGAGTGAATGAGAAATAATGAAATACATAGCAAGCATTTTACATTATTAAGACAACAAGCTTCAATACAAAATTACAGTACAGTCACACAACTTGCAAATATAAATTACATAAACACAACTTCCAAATATAAATTACATAAACACGACTTGCAAAATAGTACATATGGTTTGTATGATAGTAAGCAGTAGTAGTATAATTGCTGCAACAGTTGTGTGCCTCCCCAAATACTGTTGAAATACACTTTCAAAATTGTTTTGTTCAATGGATTGTTACAGTGACTCTTTAGTGCCTCGCAAATGTCAAAGTAAGAGGATTTGCTACAACTGATAAATAGGCCAAGTTTGTTAAACATAACTGCTACTGAAGCATTCTCGCCCGTAACATAATTGGAAATAATTCCATTTTCAAAAAGCAAGTCCACATCTTTTTCAGTATCAATAAGAGAGTATAGTAGCACAACATAATTGCAAACTTGAGTATCTTGTGGATAATGACACTGCTCCAAAGCCATAACGTTTCTAAGTAAACTTTCAGTGTCTTCGAATATTTGTAAATGTGGTATTTGCATCTCACATTCATCAAAACATGAGATTCAATGCTTTTGTTTTAGGAATCTTATGTTCATTAAGCCGCGTTCTAGAGAACACTTAAACTTCACTCCAAACTCATGCAACTTCACTACGCAAGATAAATCACGAATCCATCCATGGATCTGCGGAGATCTTTGGTAGTCTTCCAATATAGTAGTTCTTCTCCAATCAGTTAAATGTTTAACTACCACCGAAGGGGTACACAATTCATAACCAGGAAACAAATTGAAAAAAGAACATGAAAGCTCCATGAAGGTACACATGTTAGGGCCTACTACAAGAGCTAACTTCCATATTTCCTCGAGGATGAAATATGGAAGTTGATTTTCGAGTAATAGAAAGTCCCTACATATGGATACACATAGCATTGGTGTAGATAGTAAAATATCAATTCCATGAAAATTAAAGGTATTCCTTAAGAATAACTCTATGATAAATATAGCATCATATAGAATCATCATTACATACTCAATGCTCCCAAGTTTCGATGTCTCTGCATAACAATTACGGACTTTTTGCTCATTTTCCTTGATGAAATTTAAAATTTCATCTCGATTCTCTATTGTCATTCGTTCAAAAAAAGTTTTCACAGAATTTCTTTTTTTCTTTTCCATTTTAGCTAATTCTTCCTTTCCATTGTGAAGAGGACCTATTGAAACCAAGTTAGGAGTGTAGGCATTTTCATTTACGCTATGAAGATCTTTGGGAACCGTATAAATACAACACTGACAAAGATCAAGCTCAGGCTCCAAGTTTTTGTCAATGTCAATTCGCAACTCTTCGACCAAATGCTCATGTTTAAAGAAATCACTCATCTCCACCTTCTTTGCCCTATTGACAAGCCATGCTGAGAATAGCCAATAACAATAAGTAGATAAATACAACACTCAAAATAATCAACTTAAAATTATGTAACTATATTTCCGTAAATAGCTTTCAGAATAAATTAAAAATATGTGGGTAGAGATTCCTTGAACGAATCCCCCTCACATAAAATGTTGGAATTAGGAACAATTGACTATTATATTAAAAAAATCCATTGCATTATAAACTAAAAAGGTAGATTAGAAAAGTATTGTACTATTTTATATACTTTAATTATCTGAATAATAATTACTCTAAACCCCAGCACCAATGCATTGATCGACAAATTTTGATCACACTGGAAGTCTTTTTTCTAGTGTCGGAATCCAGCAATCCCAATAATCTTGAATTTGATTAATGAAAATTAAAAGAAAAAAGAACAAGATAAATAAGCAACTGAAAATAAAGTGCATGCTTGTATGGTTTTAGTAAAGGTTTAGAGCAGCATGAAGATGATAGTATCCTGACCTGGGTTGATTTCCTCCTCTCGAAAGTCACAGCTACCTCACAGCAGGGATGTGTTACGCAATTGCGGTGTATCCCTCTGATCTTTCTTTCATAGTATATTTTCTCTTCTGCTTCCTCGCCGTAATTTATATGCACACTTCACACCTTTTCAAGGAGCTAAAAGATGAAGTGTAATTGTCAATCGATAGATAATATTGAAGTGGTTGGCTTGTCATGCATCATAGAGTTAACAGTAATTAACTGCTGAGAGAAACTTTTCAAGGTGGCCTTGGGCCCCTCATAAATATGTCTAAGAACATGCATGATTCACGTTCACTGCAGCAAATAATGAGAAGCAAACCATAATGCTGAAAAATCAATGCATATTGATGAGAGTTGTTGTCTGGTATGAGATACCTTACATTGGGTGCGTATGGACCCCGTCTCATTCAAGATGTTTGGAAGCAATTAAGATTAGCTACAAAAAGTTAGGAACCTTTTGCTATCACCAATGTGTTACAGAGGACTGAACGCTCACCTGTACTTCACGCGGTGCTTTAATATTCTCTTAAAGCACATGTTGCCTATTCAATAATTTCCTGTAAGTAAGAAAGACTTATTTCAATCAAGTGAGGTTTACGTGATTAATATAAAATATATTTAATTAAAAAAATACGTTAAAATGCCACATCAACTCAAATAGGCGACAAATCTGATCTCGCTTAGATAAATTAGATAATCAGTAATTTCAAATAGAGAAATGAACTTCTCAATTTTTAATTAATCTCAAATGTATTTACAGTATGCTTATATAGCTAAAGACTGATCTATGTGGCAATTTAAGTGATTCACTACAAAAGAAAATCTAGTCATTCAATTATGAATAATACTACATTTACATAAATTTAATATAAAATCTTTCCTAAAAGGTGATGTATCATATTATGATTGAAGGAATTAATATAAAGAATCAATTTAATAAATGCATATTTAATGATAGCGAATAACATGATAATGCATGAGTAATGTTATGTCATTTTGTATGGAAAACTTTGTATAAAATCTTTGTAAATATAATATTACTATTTAATCATTTACAAACAAACACAAAATAACAAAAGCTAGACCGTAGGATCTATTTTCTGCTGCTTAAGGAAGAACAAGGTATTGTGTTTTAATAAACAAGAATACATTAAACATTGTCACTTTTATTTAAAAACTAACAAACTTTAACAGGTTTTGAAGTTTCTTCAAATCTTCAAGACATTTCCTTTTCTTCAACCGCTAACTTCGTTTTCTTTATTTTAGTTAGGAAATTTAAGTAATCCAGCTCTTCTTATTTTCTAACTTGTAATTTGACCTTTTCAACAACCTCCCTCAAGCAAAGAAATAAGATTTTTACATATTTCTAACAAGTCAATAATTAATACAATATGAAATAGCCAACAACTGTCTACAAGTAAGTTAATACATAAAGGACCTTAAAAATAACAACTTATATAAATTCTTAAAAGAGATGACCGATCATATGTCAACTTGTCCTTTTACTAAAATTTATAACTTTAATAATCATCTATAATTGTAACTATCGGTGAAAAATAGAATAAAACAAAATGTTTCTGTTGATGCGTGATTTGAACACCAACTGATCGACACGTGCGTAACGTTGATTGATCAAGGGACACACGTGATTATGGGAAAATGTAGAGTAAATGCAAAGAGAGTTTTTTAAAGTGGTTCGGATGCTAAGATAGCAAGTCCTACGTCCACTGATTTGTATTAGTGTAGTGGGTAAGGTCGCGACAGCGGACTGACTTACTAATGATAAGGAAAAGTAAATACAAAGTTTGCAAGAGAGAGAAGGAGAGTTTTCAGTGTAAAAATTGTCGAATCCCCTTAGTGAAGGGGTCTTCCTCTTTTTATAACGAGATGAATGCATGTAATCATCATTAAATCCATGGGTAGGTGTGAATGTCAGGACATAATCCGGCTTTGTGACACATTGCCCACGTCCCAAGCTGATTTCACGCGATTTGGAACAGGGAAATGGACACGTGGGAGCTCCAGCGCGTCTGGCAGGCCTGACGTGCACTTACCGTTCTAACGGGAGTAGGCCACACTTCATCACGTGACTTCCCACGTCAGCCCTTGATTTCCCAAGCATAACAGAAGTCCCCTAGCTTTTAAGGTTTGAGGATTGAACCTTGGAAACTAAGTCATGCCGCTTTTGGAGGTTCTAGTAATTTCGACCTGAATGGAAGAAGCTCGAAACAGGGCCCTTTGCGAACACGATCTCGCACAATCTTTGCCCAAACGACCTGAAAATCATCATCCTAGCGACCTGGATTCATCGGATGTTTCTTACCATGCCTCAGGTTGGAGATTCAATGGACCTGCTTCTGTAGTGTCAGGCGCTCTGCACGTGATAAAGCGTCTGGCAGGCTCATTAAATGCGTTGTGTGCTGACCCGACGTTGTTTTGACAGCATTAATTGCACGGCACACTTGAAACGTCAACCCTTATCAGAACATTGAATGCGACGTGGGGTGCATTTAATGCGGAGAGAGAGAAGGCTGTCGTTTCGAGTCCGAGAGGTGGTAACCGTCGGTTCACAGTCCATATAAAAGCCCAAATTTTTCAGATGATGCCACAAGAATCCCTTCTGCCTCGAGCGAAAAATCTTTGCAAATTGGAAGCTCTTCTTTTCTGATTGGCATCTTTCCGGTATCCAAAATAAGATCCGTCCTCAGTCACGCGCCCCAGAAGGTAAGGTCCTTTCCCTTCTTCCCTTTTTTTTTTTTTTTGGTTTAGTTGGTGGGCAATGACATTGGGTCTCCTGGTGTTTCATCAAAGACGCGACGCTGTCATCGGATTCGAGCCATGGATGGAGGCTCGAGTTACTATTAGTGTTTAAGGAATTTGTCCCATGCCGCCGTGCGGGGCAACATGCGATGGCTAAAATGACCTGTCTGTCGGTGTTGCAAACTCTGGAATGGACCCGTCAACGTCCAGACCTGAGGAAGGAGCCAGTTCGTCTTCGCGGGACGTTCCCGCGGACGCATCCCTTGATGTCTTCTAGATTCTCACCCGAGAGGAGTTCGATAGGATAAAAAGATAGTTCGACGTCCGGGCAGAGGTGTTCCTCGACAACACCCGATCGTCGCGGCACCCTTCCGATGGCCTAGCTGCGATCTCCGAAGAGATCTTCAAGGGTGGAGGGATGATTCCTTTCCATCCTTTCATTAGGTCGGTCCTGGATCACTTCGGGATCGCACTAATGTAGTTGACGCCAAATGCGTATGTCATCGCTGTTGCGATGTACATCGCGTGCCGCGAGAGTGGCTTGGGCGAGCTAACGGCGGTGGAGCTTGGCATCGCCTATTACCTTAAAAAGAATAAGGACAAGGATTCTTATTACTTGTCCCGGCGACCCACCATCGCCGAAGGGATACATAGCTATCCCAGCAATGCGGGGGCCTACGAGACAAAATTCTTTTTTTCTGCTACGACGGCTACTGCCGCTTTCAGAAACCAAGTAGGTTCTTCTTCGCTAGGTTCATTGTATGTTCGCTTCCTTTATTATAATGACCTGCCTTCTTTTGCAGTTAACAAGACAACTAGACAAGACCTGCTCTCTGACCCGGATAGGCTCGTGTCTTTTGGAGTCCTTTCCGAGGAAAGTCGGGACGCGAGGAAGCTTGTGACGAACGCAAACTTGCGGAAGTACGGTTTTATTAGTAACAACGCGTCTTTAGAGCCCCCAGAAGGTAAGTTACACTGATTCCCTTCTGATCGCAGAATAACTTTTGCTTAGTTACTAACATACTTGCTTGTAGCGACCATGCCTCCGAAAGAGTCCGAGCAGCCTCGGCGAGCACCGTTCGTCTTCCCTCGATCGAGGAGAGAAAGGGCGGCCGAAGCTGCTCGCCCCATAACGGCACAACCAGTAACATCTGCGCCCTCCCAGTCCCGTCCTAAGCAAGAAACGACGGATAGAATAGGTCGCTCAGCCACCGCCTGCTCGCCCAAGACGGAAGGCTCTAGCCCAGCGGTCAAAGAAGAGGAAGCAGATTCAGGCCGACAAGTCGGAGACTGAGTCTGAGGAAGAACCCATAAGGCCACGACAGGACTTAAGGAGGAGGTCGGGCAAGGAACCCGCGGACGAGACAATTGCTGCTGACAAGGCAAAGGGCATACTTGTGCTGGACTCGTTGGGGAGCCTGCCCGAATATCTACAGCCGATAGTCTATTCTTTGCTCGAGTGTGGGCTATCGGAGTCATATGATGAGTTCGTCAATACGGGCGACGACCTGATGACCACGTCGTTCTAGCATCTAAGCAAGGTAAATGAACTGTTCTTAAAGCTTGTCCTCCATTTTCATTCTAATTCACTTCTTGCTCGCAGGCTTCGCTTGCGATGAGGATGTCCATGGAGAAGACTCGGCTGGGGCCGCGAAGGGGGCAAGTGATCTAAAGGAGGAGGTCGTGAAGCTCAAACAGAGCCTGGAGACCGTCGAAGCAGAAAGAACACAAGCATTCGAAGCGGCGAACAGGTACCTGAACCAAAAGGATGTTGCTTTGCGGACGGTGGACTTCCAAAAGGCGGAGCTTGAACGATGTGTGGAGGAAGTAAATGAGCTTCAGAGGATAACCGCTAGGCTCTTTAAGGAGGTCGGAGAGAAGGACCAAGAGCTCCAAACGACCTCTATATGGGCTCAGCGAGCTGAACAAGAAAGGGAGGCCTCCGAAAAGGGAAGGCTAGCTCTCGAGGCCGAACTCTAGGAGAGTCAGGAAAAAAATTGCTTCACTGACAGAAGAAATGCGGATCCAGTCAGAGGAGATTGAGGATAAGGCTGCCGATTGGGCAATCGGGTCCATTTATACCCTACGACCAAAGAACCTAGATCTGGATATTTTCGACCTCCCAGAGGGGTGGCAAGAGACCTTACGGATCTTGGCGGAGGAAGATGATCAAGCAGCGGCGGCCACCCAAAGATCCGACCAGGCAGAGGGTTTGGGTCTTTCTTCGAAGGATCCCCCCGACCAGCCATAGTGTAATGAGACCGACTCCATTGGAATAGGATCTTAAACAATCTTTGTTGTAAATAAATGAAAATACATTTTGCTTTCAATTGCTGT